ACATTATTTTGACCATTGAGGTGATCATGCATCATTTCATCATTAACATTTCACGACACACTGGTTGAAAAACGCTATATTAGACAATAGTTCAATTAGGCCTGCAAGATTGATCCGTTCAATTGAATTACATTTCTTTTTGTATAGCCCCAAATCACAACAGCAGTCGTCTCAGAGGACCCTACAAGTTTTCCGTATCCTCAACAACAGATCAGAGAATTGAATAGTTTGAACATAGGGAATGCATTAATAGATATACTATCTGTTTGTTATTATTATTATTATTATTATTATTATTATTATTAGTCCATAGGGTGCAGGATGACCAATGTCCATAAATGTTAATAATAATATATGTAATAATAAATGTACTGGATCATCACTCTCCTTAGGCCCCCCAGCATTGGCAAAGGACGACTCAAAAAAAAAAAAAAAGAAACAGTTGGGAAAATGTGAGAAACCTCTGGCTTGCCCTCATTGTTAGATTGTGCACTGTATCTGCATGTGCATTGTTTCATATTTCCATGAGAAGTAAGTTAAGGGATACATCTCTAGTAGCGGTAGTAGTTAGATATTTATTGTAATTTATATGGTACAGAGGTATGTATTGTATGTATTTTATGTATATATTCTTATTAAGGGACATCAATCATTGTACACACCATAACACAAAATATACAACGATAGAGAGCTGTGAATGTGTTAAAATAAAACCAACAAGTACATATATATTATACATGTCGAAATCATCGTCATACAGTGAGATGCTAAAGGCAGAACATATTATGCGCAATACAAGTTAAGGCAGGGCAAATCAACAGACCTATGACAGCGACGCAAAACCATTTTAGGGTTTATTTTTTGGTACGTAATCCGTTTGTTATTCCGCGAAGTGACGTGACGTAGTACGTAAAAAATAAAAAATAAAAAATAAAATAAAAGACGTGACGTAGTACGTACATTTACGTCGTGACGTCCTCCCTCCTCGCTCTCTCTGCTCAATGGCGATTACGGCAGACACGCATAGCTCCAGCAGCGGAGCGCACACAGCCCTTTGACCGGGCTTTAACTCCACAATTATCTAATGAGACGACTAAGGACTGTGAGTACAACCTTCTCAAGCCTTTTCTCACGTATCACTACACAAATATTAGCTATATTTCTTGATTACTTGGGTGTTTCTCGTGTTTTACCATCGCTTGCTTTGTGCCTCTGGGAAACCTGTACCACGTAGCCAGTGCCTGAGCCAACAATGAGTCTTTGTTCGCGCGTTCGGGTGATTTTCTCATAATATATGCTGGTTATTAGTTAAAATGAACGTGTAACGAGCAATCAGAATTGTTGTTATTGAATTGTGCTTTCGTCTGATACACATTTAGCGCGCGTTTCTTACCGTTTCTGAACAAACCAAGGCGGCGGCTCCCACTTGGGGATTTGTGCGATAACACTGGGGTCGGTATTTATCATCAAAACACCAGGATATACGTCATTTGTGTTGTATTCTAAACATCTACTTTATATATTATGTATGTAGTATCAGGTGTTCGGGATTGTTACGTTTTACTGTCATATTATTAGGCTGACCAACGCGATACATGCTCAGCGGGGGAAGGGCTGGTTCCCATTATCAACGCGGGCCATATACAGAGCAACAGGCGCCTATAGCTGTTTAAAACAGCCCAAAACAAACATCAATCTACTAAATTTAGATTAAGACTGTTGTGTGTCTGGGTGGTCAGATGTTCTAGAGACAGTGTCATGTCGTGAATGTTTCCAACAGTTCTGTCTAGCTGTGCAGACTGAAAGATAGCATCTTGAGTCTTGCCAATGTACTGTGGTTGTGTATGATGTGTGATTGTTTATATCTAGTGTTAAGCACTGTGGGTTGCCGTGTGTATAAATAAACTCGCTTTGCCTTGTTTTGGAAATATGCAACATGGACGCATAGGGTCTAAATGATTGAACTACATATTTAAAACTAGCTGATTAAAGCGAACTTTGCCCCCATAGATGATAGCATTTGGTTTGTGCCAATAGTGAACAAATCAGACCACATCACGCTGTCTATTTGTCAGAAAACTGTTGATCTTCTGCATACTTGTAAGAGCCCTGTGAGTTACTTTTTGACGGTTAAGTGTGGTCCTCCCTTTTTCACTTTCTGCCTGAAAAAGCTGATCAAAACATGTGACAGGCCAAAAATGCATGCAAGAGAAATGGAACCAAAGTGTTATGAGAGCGAGAAACTAGTTGAATAGATTTCATTGCATTGTTCAGTGTTTTGTGGTTTGAAAAGTTGTGTACTCCAGCTTTAATTTGATAATTGTAAACTACTGTAAACATGCATCTGATTCAGCTGTTATTTCACATTGGTCTGATTATTACGCCTTCAACAATACTTGGATAGAAACACAGTTGAATGAACTTCCAGTAAATGTACATGCTTTCTTGACGTTGTTGACAACGTGTTTTCTTTTTTGTCAATATGTAGCTGTGTTGTACAGCTTAATTAATGAAATTGTTGTAGAAGTTTGAGAAATGTGACAGAAAGAGATGAGCTGTTATTAAATACATGGAAGACCTTTCACTGTGTGGTTTCCCCCTTGTATCATTGTGTTTCAAATTTTCTGCTTGCTTGAAATTATAGTATATGGAGATATTTGTATGGAATTATATGAATGATTTGTATAGATTTCATGAAAAGAATATTAGATTTTTGCCCTGCTGTCAGCTCATCATAAAACTGCACCTTAGTCTTTCGCCTGAGATTAACTTGTACTTTCTCCTAAAACTATCAACCTTTTTAGTTAATTATTTCCTGAACCAAGAGCAGAGATTAAAAACATAGTTGGAAGTTTATTACTGACCTAAGGTTCTTTTCACAATGCATCCAACGTGATGTGGAAAAGTTTGGAATCTCTCGAAGCCATAGTCTGTAGACTTGATTCCATTATTATTGTTTTTGGGGTATTAGATGCATCTCATAATGGATTCTTCTGGTTACACTTCCATTTCTTTCTTCTGATTTTTGTGGAGTTTTGCCACATTTATTTGCTTTAATACACCACATTTCACAATTACATCTCAAATAATTGTAGTCCTATCACACAAATGAAAAGGAGCAGAAGGAAGAAAAAATCTCTGCTGTCCGCTTCTGAATCGTGTACAAAACATTTCTAAAGATGGACTGCAGATGTCTTTAACATGTTTTTGTAAAAGTCAGAAGTGTGCAGAAGTTATTCCATCTATGCCAAATGTGACATGTAAATGTATCCAGTGTGAGCTCAATAACGTCTCTTTTATTAGATACAGCACTCCTCCTTAAAACTGATTAGATTTGTTTTTATCTTCATGTTTTTGATTATTTATCAAATATGATTTCTTTGTTGTTGCTTGAATTTCTTAAACATGTAAGATAAGATAGACCTTTATCCTTCCCACAGTGGAGACATTTCAATGTCAACGTTCGACACTTTACTGCAGAATAATAGAAAGGAGGAAACAAGAGCCCTCAGACACACATCAAACAAGATCTATTATTTAAAATGTGGATGTATCCAGAGATTTTTTATTTCACATTCACATGGAAATTCCCATGCGTTTCTGGGTGGTTTTTGGCAAAGGGTTTACATTTTCCAGATTAGCTCACGTGTTTAGAGTAGGGTGCTGGTGTGTACGTTATTGCCCCACTTAAACTTCTCCACTGCAGAGAACTTCGTAAGAGTCTTTGTAATTATTATTTTTTTTAAACTATTTTTTGAATAAATGCCAAGGCAGCAGTAGCAGTGGTCCTGGAGGACTTTACAAAGTTGCTAATTCACAAACAGATCAGAGAATTAAAACAGTTTGAAAACCGGAAATGCATAATAAAAAAACACATGGGAACCATTGGTTCTGATTCAGTTCTTTTCATGAAGCAGTTGTAAATTTTGTGTGGTCTCTTTGTTGCCCTTGAACACAACATGCTATTCTTTGTTTATTTAGCACCTATAGCTTCTATATAATCCACCCAAAACCTGTTTTGTTAGTATCTACTATTAGGGATGTGACGATATATCGCAATACTTTCTCCCGCGATTCGATTATCGATATGCATTTGCCAACTATCGATATCGACTTTGAAAAAAATATATATAGTTTTTGTTAAAAAAAAAAATCATTTAGTATCAATACTTAATATATGGCTACAGTACGCATCTTCATTTATCATGACAGTGTATTTTTTTCACTTAACATTTTTCTTTTATTTATGCCATAAATTGGCATATGGTATATTTCTGACCAATATATCGATAATCGTTATCGTGATATTATCGTTATCGTGAGCTTTGTTTCGTGTATCGTATCGTGAGGTACCCTTAGGTTCCCACCCCTGTCTACTATTCTAATTTGCTGTTCCTTCTTTGTTCTCTCTTTGCAGGTTATACCCAACTAAAATGGAGGATAGTTTCGATTGTGACTGTGGCGAACTTGAGCCACCTGATCACTGAGGCTTAGCTCTTTCGGATGACTCAAGGCCAGACACATTTCAGTTCACAGATTAGGTGTCTTAAGTTACAGTGGGGAAAAAGGAGAAGCAGAATAACAAGTAAAATAAATATTCAATATCAGTTTGTGCATTGTTTTTAGCATAGTCCTATGAAGCTGCTCAGGACCAGTCACACACTGAATGCACTGCACTGTGAGGATGCTACCACGTGCTTTTGTTTAGTTTGAATTTGCAGATTCTTTCTAATTGGCTTCAAAGTCCATTCCATCGCAGTCTTTAAACACTACAGTTACTCGACCAGAATTGGAAAATAAATTCAACTTTTGCACACAATATTTCCCTTTTGCTCAGAATGGATAGAAACATCGTGGTCGTAATGTTACCCATTATAAAACATTAAAGGCTACTGAGGGGGAGATAGTCGTCGACTGTACGGGGAGGGCGTCTTAGTTGGAGGTTTCACAGGGAAAAAGTCCAATTCAGACTTTTTAAAGGGTTTAGATAGTTCTTCAAGATGGCGGAGAAGTTTGAGTCGTTGATGAACATCCATGGGTTTGACCTGGGCTCACGTTACATGGACTTGAAGCCGCTGGGATATGGGGGAAACGGTCTGGTCTTCTCTGCGGTAGACACAGACTGCGACAAGCGTGTGGCCGTTAAGAAAATCATCCTGACAGACCCACAAAGCGTCAAACACGCCCTGAGAGAGATCAAGATCATCCGGCGGCTGGACCACGACAATATTGTCAAGGTGAGAAGACTAAGGCTTTAAAATTAAACTGAAATCATGTATTTCTTTGTGTGCAAAGAGCTCATAGGGCCTGGGTTTATCTAAGAGTTTGATGCAGAGCACTTTCAATTTGATACCATTCAATAAAGTATCCCCACCGAATCTGATTCGATTCAAAAGAAAACAAGCTTGGCCTCTTCTCCAGTTTTCAACCCAATATGAATAAAGACACATATTGGTGCATTCATATTTAATTTATTGAAGAATGTGAAAATATATTTTCACATTCTTCATAAAACGTCTCCTCAAAAACATTTGTTCTGTTCAGTTATACTTTTGTCCCTTTTTAGGAAATTTGTCCTTTGACCCATCCTTCATTGCTGTTATGGCCTCTAATAGGAGCATCTCCTGATGTTGATGCTCTGTATTTTTCTTATAGCACTTCTGTGTTTTTAGAGTATTTTTAGTTGTCCATTTTCAATGCGACATTGATGAGGACATGGAACCCAGGAAGAATAGCTGCTGAAACATACTGTACAGTAATGGGGTTCTAAATAAAAACAAACTAAACATGACACTCTCAGAGGTATTGCTGCATTTTGCACTCATATATTTAGTCGGCCATTCTTCATCGTTCGGTCTCTAACATCTGGACCCTCTGTATCTCCTCCTCAGGTGTTTGAGACTCTGGGCCCGAGCGGCCGTAGGCTCACGGAGGACGTGGTGTCTCTGACGGAGGTGAACTCAGTCTACATTGTGCAGGACCACATGGAGACCGACCTATGCCAACTGCTGGAGCGGGGCCTGCTGTCGGAGGACCACGCCCGCCTCTTCATGTACCAGCTCCTGCGAGGCCTCAAGTACATCCACTCCGCCAACGTGTTGCACCGCGACCTGAAGCCTGCCAACCTTTTCGTCAACACTGAAGACCTGGTGCTGAAGATCGGGGACTTTGGGCTGGCGCGCATCATGGACCCTCACTATTCTCACAAGGTAGGGCTGGCTTTAAGATGGCTTCACATCCCAATTCATACATCCACTCCCTCCTGGTCCTTCCTTATAGTTTATTAATGTCAGTCATGCAAAAGTAAAAGAAATGTGTGTTCTCCTTTAGTGGTTACACTCATACAATAGTGTCTATTTTTTTACCTGGTTTTTATCATTTGAACGTTGGGAGATTCTTTGGTAGTACTTTGAGTTTGAGAATAATCTTTTGTAATCCAGAATCTCTAAATCTAGTTCTGGACATTGATGGAATCGGGTTGTTTATTTCTGTGTATTGATCAAAGGCTGTAGTTTTGTTTACACCGTTAAGTAATTCATCACACGCACACCATGACATTGTAATTTCAAGACGTGCCTAATTGAATATTATTGTATTGTTTTAGCCTCTTAACTTTAAACATACTTGCACACTACGTTCTTAATGGATTAGTTTGACATCTGAAGTGACGTGTTAGGGCGTGTTTGATTGGGCTGATGACCTCTAGGTTGGCGAAACTTCAGATCCTTTTGATATCTCATTTACTGCTCATCTCGCTTCAGATCTGTCTGTCGTAAACTGGATCATTAGTTTTTGCAGTTTTGTTTGCTGTTTGTGAAAGCTGGTCTTGGACATGAAACTGTGACAAACAAACCATTATCTATTCGACACCGCGCTAAATGGTGCATGGCTGCTTGTGCATGTCACAGACACAAGCTTTTGCAGAACGTCTGATAACATCAAAACCCCATGAGAAGCCATTTTACTTGAAGAGTTTTGTGAACTTTCCATCATTGGAAAAAGGGGACATTTTGGTTCAGCAAAACAGCGTCCACAAAAAATGACACGAGGGGCTGCAATTGGCCCCCAGGACATGCCTTCTCGAAATGACCATTCCTGTTTAAACCTTTTTATATAAAAGACTAAAGAATGAAACGTTTACTTATTTCAGTGATACAGTTGTTGATGTTTGTCGATTTATGTTAATGGGAAGCGATGGTGCACATGAGCAGCAAGCAAGTGAGTGTTTCTCACATGTTTTGTCGGTTGTGAGATGTCCGGTGTTGTGTTGGTCCCATGTGTGACGCTGCCCCTCAGCAGGAAGTAAACACAAGCGGATGTTGGGCCGTTTGGGTTAACGCCTCACACGGCGGAAGCAAAGACCCTTTCTGGAAGTTGTTTCTCAAGATAACGTTGCTGTGTTACATTTCTTTCTTTATGTACCATTTGTGAGAAGAGCTGTGAATGTTGTGCAGTAAACTTGGATGTGCCAATAAGGACTGAGTGTTTTGTTGGTGTTTCACACTGACTGTAAAGGGGGGGGGGATTGTGCAACACGCTAGATGATGACGTGATTTAGAACTGACCCAATTTCTTTGAAACTGCTTTTTGGATTTTCTGGTAGGTTTACCGGAATGTTTTCTGTGAAAGACTGGTTATCCACCAGTGCTTTTAGGCGCTTGTAGTGTAAGTAATTTGGTTTAAAACAAAGGGATACTGTGGAACCTTCTATTCAGCCAGTTCAAGCCTTTATTCATCTTCTAAGTGCCGTAACTTCCCTATTTTACTAACTAAAAACATTAAAATTCACAGTAAAGAAGGAAACAATTCAGGGATGTTGAATTCGATATTTATTTTACAATTTGGCCGACCCCGATTCCAATATGGCCGCCAGTTTATCCAAGATGGCTGCCAACAGGAAATCCGGAAAACATTTTTTTCAAACTACATATGTAATATATCAAGATGAAGGTAATTGATGGAGCAATCTAAAAATGATGCTTAGAAATTGTTTTGGCATATGCACACACGTGTTATTTATGAGACTAAAGTTACAGACCCCAGCTTTAAACATGTTATTTATGAGACTAAAGTTACAGACCCCAGCTTTAAACATGTGTGATTTATGAGACTAAAGTTACAGACCCGAGCTTTAAACATGTTATTTATGAGACTAAAGTTACAGACCTCAGCTTTAAACATGTTATTTATGAGACTAAAGTTACAGACCCGAGCTTTAAACATGTTATTTATGAGACTAAAGTTACAGACCCCAGCTTTAAACCTGTGTTATTTACGAGACTAAAGTTACAGACCTCAGCTTTAAACATGTTAACTAACCCAAACCCCCTTGTTAACATGTAAAATGGATTAGTCCAACCAATGGCATTGGTCCGTTTGGGCCACGTGACTCGCGTTTCTACCCCCCCTGAAAAGTGGACTCGCCCGGACTTGCGTGCCGCTTCGGCAGCAGAGCAGAGTGTGTGATGAGCGCGGCGGTTTTTCAACTTTATTCACTGATCCGCGGGTCAAAACAACCGTGACATGATTCAAATATACCATCATTCTAAAGCTTATAATCTTAGATGTATGTGTGTGGTGTTGGTTTTCCAAAATCCCGGTTACTTACCGTGTATTTTGCTATTAAGTTTGTCGGATTATATCTCCGTAACCGCAACAGCTGGAGAGATGCCGCTTTCACCGTAATGCACTGTAATAAGTGATCTGTTTACCTGGTAAATATCACCTCGCGGCGACGTCATTAACCCGCGCGGAATGCCGAGGATATCCCGACTCATTTTTTTTCAGAGTCCAGACTATCTGTGGCCCACTCTGCCTCATATTCGTCAACTTTATTAATTCATATCTCAGGAAATAAACGGAATATCAGAACAATACACACATTTATAGATTCTATGAATACAAATATGTTTATTGATAGTGGTGGTAGCTGTATATTCTGATTATTTAGCTGCTCAGAATCATATGAACTAAAGTGAGTAAGACAGCGACCTCTTTTCACCACAGCGTTTCCACTGAGTCTTGCATTGCTACTTGCAGATTTAGACGTGGTAAACGAGGTTAATTTACGTATATAATAGGAAACATTGAAAATCAAATTGCACAATAACCTTTCCATGGACTTTTTACGATCATAATCTCCTATGCTCTGTATATTCATAGACCCTTTTCCTCTATTTGGGTACAGACATCTGTTTGCAATCAGAAATCTTCATCAATCATATACATTACTTCATACATAAGATTAAATATACAGGTATCTGTAGGATGCATTTATTGACCTATATATATATATATATATATATAATCAGGAAAGTCCCACTGAGATTTCCAAAGATCTTTTTCAGGAGAGTCCTGGCCCCAGAGAGAGTGGAACTGATGTACATGTTTTTAATGGTAGGGGAAACCGGAGCAGACACACGGAGAACATGCAAATTTTCAGAAATACAGTGTCTGGAAGTGAAAATCCAATCCAGGACTCTCTTGCTGAGAAGCGAGAGTGCTAATCACTTGTACTAAGAGATTTGGTGATCATCCCTATTAAATCTGACCTAGTAAAACCTAATATGTCTCCATGGGAATGCTGGTAGTATATAAAAACATCATCTACTTTACACATTAAACTATAGCTGCGTTTCATTCTTTCGTTTCATATCCCGTGCTGGCCCTATGTCCTATATTTATTTGTGGCCAAGGAGGAATTTCCAGTTGAAGTCCATATGGTGCGGATCTGCGTTCGTCCCTCCCACCTCTTCCCCAGTGAACTGGTTCAGCTGCTGCTTCGCATCTCCTTAGCTCTGCACGTGAGTCAGATTAGGCTCACGTTGACCCTCCTAAAGCTGGCACCACTTCATTCATATCGGTCAAGCTCAGACCTGCCCAGCCTACAGCCTCATACCCATACACAGCTCTATAGATCTCTACATGTTTATCACATCTATCATGATGTGGCTTAATCACATGAACTGACTGCTCCGTGAGTCATGTCCCAGCCAGACAATGAGGTCGTCTGCCGCTGAGGCAAAGAAGAAAATTGTGGAGAGAGTGGAAACTAAAAAATTATGTCATTCTTAACTCAAGATTTTTCTCTTGGATTCTATAGTGTTTCCATTGGGGATGACTTCATCTGTTTTCAGCAAGAAGATATTAATATAATTACCTATGATAATGGCTCATAACAAAAGGTAGCCAATATGTCTTCATTTTTAACTTGGGAATTCCCTCAAAGTGAACCTGGCATGCAATGTTTTTTAAGTCTTGGGCTACCTTAGGTCCCCTGACTTGTCCATGGGCTGATAACGTAGATTGTAAAACTGTTTTTACTGATTAAGCTGCTTTGAACTTTAAAATGGGGTGTGATGTCCACCTGAATTTGTCTGAATAACACATGTCATTTCACCAGCTGCATTAATGCCGTATCCAGCATTCTGTGGCACAATCACATTTGTCAGTGAAGACAAATGTCAGTGGCTGGATTCTATTGGATTTTTGCTTTCAAACAAGGTACATGTGTTTATTGGTTGAGTTGAAGTTGGCTGGATGACACTGAACATGTGTTAGCCAGGCCGAGGGCCACATTCAATGACAGAGCATTTCTTTGGACATGCTTGCCCTATAGCCCTAGTACGCATGGATGGAAATGGATCAATTTGATGAGGTTATTTGGTCAAAAGGATTGCCAACAATCATCCGAGTCAGTTCAAATTCAAGTTTCTTCATTAGTTGCCTTCCATTTTGTCACTGTACTAAATCAGTGGCTTTATCTATTCACGATGAACATGGCTGGAGTATCTCTCAAAATGCTCTTCATCAATTTCCTTCATCAATAGACGCTTCTGGGATAATATGAATGTACCATTTCGACCTCTGAATGAATAAGTATCTGTCACCTAAAATAAGCAGCTTATATTTGTTGACAGTCTGCCCCATTCAACACAAGCCTCCATTTTGGTTTTCACAACTCCTAAGCTGCTAACAAAGTGTGACCTGCCACATATTTTTATCCTGTTCCTGTCGGTAGCTCTGCAGCGGAGTCGGTCTGCTCTTTTATCAATTCCTCGAGAGACTGAGAGCAGATTAGAAGAGTGTGGTGAATGAACTCTGCGGCCTCACCAACCCGGGATCATCAGAGAAATGCGGAGGCATGATCAAATAAGCCTCATAACTACTGTCTCCAGCGTAGAGCTTTTCAAACCATGTGGGTTTGGGT